AGTAGAAAAAACAGGTCCTCGTTTTCTTTTTTTGGAAGCTGCAGAACAACAGGCCAGGGTATGTAATATCACGCTCTGCGACGGAAAAATCTATCCGTCGCAGATGAGGAAAATTGGGCCGCCGTAAATCTTCTCGAAAATTTGTCGCAGATCTGCGACGGAAGAAGCTGTCCTTTGTCCATCGTTGGCCCGTCGCACGTCTGCGATGGGTGAATATTTTTGTCGCAGATTGTGGCCAGGTGATGGAAAATTTGCGACAGCCCGATTTTTTCACAGGTTCATCGCAAATAATGGCTCTACCACGGTTTTCTCAGATCTACAACGGAAATTTGTTGTCACAGATTTCGCATAATGTTGTAGTGTATGTTTTAAACAAGGGGTCAGACTGCGTACATCCGGCCCCCCTTACCCCACAATGGGCGGGAGCCATTGAGGCACCGAGGTAATGTTGCTGTTGTTGTACATTTGCCCCATTTTTGTGTTTCCTAGCTGTTTGTCTAGATCATGGCCTAGTGGGCGGTAGGGCTGATCATCGGAACAAAGACCAGACTGAACTGGACCGAACTGAAGGTCGAATTGAAAAAAATCACGGACCAAAGACCGACCAAAATCTATTCGGATTCCGACCGGACCAAACTGAAATACTTAGGGATGAACTAGTCCGGACCGATTAGACCGAATAAAAATACATATTCTTTAATTATTTTGATCAATTAAATATCTTTTAGGCTTTTTACTTTGTACTATTCATATAGAAAAAGAATAAAAATAGGTAACCTAAAAATAGATACACAATATGAACTACTTATATGTAGAATCATAAAAACTAATATGAAAATTTTTCTTAGATTTTTTTTAAAATTACTTAATAAAAAACCTTTTCAATTAAATAAATTAACATATCTAATAAAATAGATCATCAAAGTGTAATATGGAACTTAAAAAGTAGATTTTAGTATTTAGGTCTTTTAGGTCCAATAGAGTCATTAGGTCCATTCGGTCTAGACTAAAATCATTTCGGGTTTGGACCGGGCCGGATTGAAATCCGAATGCCTAAACTTTCTGGATCGAAGACCGACCCAAAATCCATTCGGTCCGAGTTCGGTCCGGACCTAACGGTCCGGTTCGGTCGGTTTTTTCGATTCGGACATAAATGTGAACAGCCCTAGTATGGGCGAGGCCCATCAGAATCTTGCCTTTTGATTGACAAAATAAGAAATATGATTACAGACAATAGTATTAGGGATGTCTAAGTGTGGGCTCGTTGATTAGACAGGACATACAGCCTCTCACGTCCGTGGTGGGCCCGCAGTGCTTTGTTGGCGGCAAGGCCGAGTGCACAGGCTCTGTCGTTTGAAGACAGACGAGTAAGAATCTGACCGAACCCGGCCTAGGGTCTGAGTGGACGTATCGGGGCTGAGTTGGGCCACTTGTTGTTTTGTTGGACTGGATACCCCCAGTCCAGGATATGCATCAATAAGTCATAATTTTTGGGGTATAATTTTTGAGGTACACCATGCATGGTTGATCTTTGACTATTTAATGATAATTAAATACTGGAATCTTTGAGTAATATTTAAACTGATCCTTTATAATATGAGTTTTTCATATTTAGTAATTTATTATCAAATATTACGCTCATGGTCTTTTTTTATGGCCCGAGTACCTTTCCATGAATTGTCCTTTTTTTGACATGTTGACATGTTGATACAATTTGAGGGATAAAAGTGTAATTTGACATCAGCCCCATGTCTAATATAATGATGTACTCTGATGTCGGCTAGACGGATAACACAACAATAATGACTATGGCTGTGGATTAGGATTCCGACCATAGACGATATCAGTAGATTATTGTTGTAGTTTATATCGACTGCATTTCACAAACGACGCAATCTATCAATAGTGACCTCTAACATTACACATGGAAGAAGAGATATATGATCATTGTGAAATTATACTTTTTTTGCCTTCAAATTGATACCAATATGACAGAATATAAATAATAATCATTTGTAGAAATTTTGCATAAAAGATGAATTAAATGCGTAATAATTAATAATAAAAGACTAAATATAAAAAACCATTGTCATAAAGGACTAATTATAAAATGGGAAATTTACCTAAATAGGAATAAAACATAGTGGCTTCCTCAATTTAGGACTATATGTTTTTATTTCTCAATGGAGAACCATCGGTCATTATCTATTAATCAATATTCAAGTAAATGTCTAACATCACTAGACATTATTTCTTCTAGTAGACATCATTAAGTCTTATTTAGAAAATAAAAAAATTTAAGTTCTATATTGAAAAATGACTTACTCCTAAAATTAACTTTCCAGTTTGACTTTTGTAGTCAAATTTTTTAAACTTTGACCGTATATTACGGAATAAATACATTGAATTTTCATATAAATTTATTAGCAATAGATTCATTTTGAAACATAGTTTATTTTGAAATATATAATTTTTATAAAATATATTTATATAAAAATTGAGATATTGATGATCAAAGTGTCGCATTGAAGATCGTGAAAAGTCAAATGAGAAGTTAATTTTAGGACGGAGGGGGTATGTTTTAGTCCTATTCAGTAGTGCAATTTTTTTTTATAAAATTTATTAATTTGTTTTTTAGATACGACTAAACTAATACGAGTATGTTTAAGGAAGGAAAGATTATTAGGTCCCGCTTGGTACATGAAATTCAAACTATGGAATTGGAATTGGAGACTTCAATTCCAATTCTGGTATTTGGTAGCACAAAAATTATGTGAATTTGGAATTGATAGTGCAAAAAATGAATTGAAATTGACAGAATTCAATTCTATAGAATTGAATTCATGGAATTTCATTTCCAATTCAATTCCAATTCCATCAATTTCTTATACCAACCAAAGGTACCTTATAGTAATTTTTAATAACTCCGTAAGATAATGGGTTGCGGCGGGGTGGAAATATGTGGTCGGAGAGTGGGAACCTCCATTTTCATCCGTCAGCCATTTTGTACAGTTCAAGACTAGAGTTCGGCACCCCGTCCACGTGTACGTGCGGGCCGGGTCAAGTCGTTGTTACTAATATTTTTCTGCACGAACTAATAATTAATTAATTAATTAAAGAGATGGATCGGAAATGCTCGTCGGTCTCACTTTCCTCTCATTTTCCCATGCATGACGTCAACAACAAGTCTACGTTGGCGGGGTCGATTGTATTATATATTTCTTCGCAGGGAAGTTCAGTTTATTGGAGAGACTGATCGATCAATTCCCCGGCCACGTACTCGATATATATATATATATATATATATATATATATATATATATATATTGTTTTCTGATCAGTAGCGGGCATTATACAGCTAGCTAGCCAGGTATGGTATACTAATAACATTATTTAGTGCTTTAATTGATTTTCAACATGATGTTTCCGAATCACTCATTTTTTTCTATGAGGGGGGAAAGCATATGCCAAATTGCTACTTTAATTATCATAATAAAGAGCAATGTCATTTTTCAATTTCAATCATTTAAACTACTTTATAATCTAAATACATTTATTATAATTTATTTTAATACTATTAACTCTATTACAATGTAAAATTGTCTTAGTTATTTTGTCTTATTTATTTACTTTAATTATTATCACTTCCTCCGTTCTATAAAAGTATTCCTACTTTGACTTTGTGTAAAAATAAGGAAGTGTTAAATTGTACTCCCTCCGTCCTAAAATTAATTTCTCATTTTGACTTTTGCGGTCAAACTTTTTAAACTTTGACCGTATATTAAGAAAAAAATACATTGAATTTTCATATAAATTTATTAGCAATAGATTCATTTTGGAATATAGTTTTGAAATATATAATTTTTATAAAATATATTTATATAAAAATTGAGATATTGATGGTCAAAGTGTCGCATTGGAGACCGTGAAAAGTCAAATGAGAAGTTAATTTTAGGACGGAGGGAGTAGTTGACTTCCAATTTTGCCCTTGATGTGATGGGTAAAAGTAAGATGTGATGGATTGAGTATTAGAGAAAAAGTATGATGTGATAGTTAGGGTATGAAAAAGTAAGGGTAAAATTGGTTTTTTAATAGAAAGTGGAAGTGTTTTGTTGGAAGTAAAAAATAAAAAAGGAAGAGTTTTTGAGAACGGAGGGAGTACAATTTTAAGGTTAAATGATATCTCCCTCAGCTCTCAGAGGATTTTTTACTTTTATTGCTACAAAAGCCATCCTTTTTCTTACAGTATTATATTTTTATGAGAAATTTACCTAAATAGGACTAAACATAATGACTTTCCCAATATAGAACCATATGTTTTTATTTTCCAATCTAGGACCTTTGGTCATTATCAAGTAGTCATTATTCAACTAAATGTTCATGATTACAGGACATTATTCTTTCCACTAGGGAATAAAAAAGTTTAAGTCCTATCATTATGTTTTAGTCCTATTTAGTGCAAATTTCACTATTTTTATTTGTACTTCAATTATAAATTATCTCTGGAATTTGCTTTTCGATTTTTAATCTCTTAGAAATCATTGTTCATCTTTATAGTAAATTTTCTCTAGATTTTGCTTTAATTTTCCTTTTTTCATATCTCTGAAATTAAAAAGGTGTGCACGCTTAAGCATCTGGAAATTTAGTTAATATAATCCACAGTTTTCTTCGTAACATTCTTTCCATCGCACACTAACCGTACAGTTTGATTATTTCTTCGAATTAAGCTAAACGAATCTTAATTATCAATACTGGTCGAGTTTGACTAAAAATATCAAATTGAATCAATACTCTAAGATGGTTAATTTTAGAGTGATAATTTTACGTACACAAGCTAAAAAGACGTGCATGCTTTTAACTATTTGGAAAGCTGTTTATATAATAAAAATTGTACGTAGATCAATACTAAAGGGAACAGAATGTTGGAAAACAAGTTTGAAAACACGACAAGAGGAAGAAAAGTAAATGAGGACCAAATTTAACATGAATCTTTTTTGTAGGTAATTTGATTCGTTCTTGATGGAACCTGAGGAGACACAGATGTGTGTTGCTCCCCCTGTTAATGACATAAAATGGCTGCTGACAGAGTGCGCGCGAGCACTTGACGAAAACAAACTGCATGATTTTGACATACTGGTGGAGCACACACGTGGGGTAGTGTCCGTCACAGGGGATCCCATCCAGCGCCTTGGGGCCTACATGATTGAAGGCCTAGTTGCAAGGAAAGAGGCTTCTGGTAGGAACATTTGTAGGGCACTCAGATGCCACGAGCCTGCAGGGATGAAGGACCTACTGTCCTACATGCACGTCTTGTACGAGACATGGCCCTACCTAAAGTTCGGTTGCATGGCTGCAAATGGCGCCATTGCGCGGGCATGCAGAGGCGACGACCGCATTCATATAATAGACTTTCAAGTCGGGCACGGGAGCCAGTGGATGACACTCCTACAAGCCTTCGCCACGAGGCCGGGCGGGGCCCCCTACGTGCGCATCACCGGGATCCAGGATCCGCTTTCTTCTTACTCGACGCATGGCGTAGGTTCCATGGTAGGCGAACGCCTTGCGGCTATGTCTGAGAGATTCAACATCCCAGTCGAGTTTCATAACGTGCCTGTTTTCGCCTCACTGATAACGAGAGACATGCTTGGTATTCGACCTCGCGAGTGCTTGGCGGTAAACTTCCCTCTACAGCTCCACAAAACCCCCGACGAGAGCGTGGATGTCACCAACCCGAGAGACAGGCTTCTGAGGATGGTGAAATCCCTGTCTCCCAGGGTGGTGACACTGGTGGAGCAAGAGTCGAACACCAACACGGCGCCCTTCTTCCCCAGGTTCAGAGAAGCCCTGGATTACTACTCAGCCATGTTCGAGTCGCTGCGCGTGGTCCCGGGTATGGACACAACTCACACAAGAGAGCGCATCAACGTCGAGCAGCACTGCCTGGCAAGAGACTTGGTGAACGTCATTGCGTGCGAGGGAAAAGAGAGGGAAGAGCGGCACGAGATGTTTGGGAAATGGAAATCGAGGTTCACCATGGCGGGGTTTAGACAGTTTCCTCTTAGCCCTTATGTGAATTCGGTCATAAAGGACCTACTCGGGACTTACTCTGAGCATTACACACTTGTTGAGGAAGATGGGGCGATGCTATTGGGATGGAAGGACCGAAACCTCATCTCGGCATCTGCTTGGCACTGAATCGAAGCAATAATATACTCCCTCCGTCCCATATAAACATGGGTACATTTTGACTAAAGTAGAAATTAAGAGAGAGAATTTTGTATTGACTTTCCAAAAATACCATTGATGTGATGGGTAAAAGTATTATGTGATGTGTAAATTATTAGGAAAAATGTATGATGTGATAGGTAGGGTTTGAAAAAGTAAGGGGTAAAAGTGGTTTTTTAATAGAAATGGATAAGGAATTGTGGGACGCAATTTTTTTGAAACGTGTAAATCTTTTTGGGACGGAGGGAGTATGTCATTGAATTGCATTTGTTTGTTTGTTTTTCCATTTTCTTTATTTATTCACTCATTTGTTTTTCGAGCTTTATTAGCTTGAAGTGATAATGGCACTCCACATTTTTTCATTCTATTCACGTGGAAAGTGGATGGAGACAGAGAAAAACTACTCTATTAATTTGGGATAATAGCATGGGTGCCCCTGTGGTCTATAAAAGGAGTGCCAAAATCCCTTCTACTTTCAAAAGTTATCTGTAAAACCCTTGTGGTTTTTAAATAGTGCACAAACACCCCCTCTTGCCTGTTTTACACATGAAATGACATTTCTGTCCTTGGTTTTTCTCTATCTTTAAATTTCACTCTTTTCTTTACATTTTTTGTCATACAAATAAATAAAATAAAATATACGCCCTCTTTCTAAAATTAAAATTTTTTATTTATTTAATTTTCAAAAATATAATTTTTTTAGAAAATGTTACAAAAATGAAATAAAATACACTTTTTCATTATAAGTACAAGTAAAATAAATAAAATAAAAATTGGATAACATATACTCACTCTATCTCTAATTAAAAATTCTAACTTATTTGTTGTTTAAAAGTAAAATAATTTTTTAAGGACTTTAAAAAATGAAGAACATAAAGATGAAATAAAATATGAAGTTAAAGAAAAAGAATATTTTTTATATTTTTATTTCTTTTCATTACCTTTTTTTAACTATTATTACTTTTTTCTTTGTACATAATATTTTATTTTTCATTTTTTGTAACATTCTCCAAAAAATGTTTTGTTTTCAAAATTACATCATAAAAAATTCTAATTTGAGATGGGAAGCGTATATTTTATTTTATATATTTGTATAATAAAGGTAATTCAAATTGGCAAATGTTAAGATCGGGGAAAACAAAGGGCATAAATGTCATTTTTGCTTTAAAAATAGGTAAGGGGGCATGTGTGCTCTATTTAGAAACCACGGAAACTTTACAAACAACTTTTGAAAACAGATGGGGTTTTGATGCCCTTTTTGTAAACCACAGGGGGCACTCATGCTATTAACCCCTATTAATTTAGACATACTCTTTTAGTTGGAAAAATAAAAATGTATGAAAGTGGAAAGGTGTGCAAAAAGGGAATTTCTTCCATGCCTTAGCTAATGAAGGGGCATGGATGCTTCTCTAGTGAATTGTTGTCATGTGGACTTTTTAATCATGTTAATAAATAAAACACTTCACATCATTTTAACTCTTGAAAATTACATAATGACCCCAATTTTTTTCCCTTTTACTTATCTAAGAGTCATTTCTTTTGAATGAAAATTTATTTCAAACATTTTTCGATGCATTTCTGTTTTTTCACCTACTTCAAGTTTATTCCAATAACAACTTAAAAAAATTATTTATTTTTATGTTTTAATAATATTCCTATGATATTCATTATAATTATAATTATTGCTATTACTAAAATTGTCATTATTGCCATCGCCATTGTAATTATAAAGAATAAAGAACTGAAGTAATAGCACAATTTTAATATAAAAAATATTTATTTTGTCCCAAAAACATATATAGACTATTAGTTATCATTATAGAGTCAACGTAAAATATTAAAATGTTAAATGAATTAATTTATTATATATACATTCCTCTTTGTAATTTTTCAATAATCCATATTTTCGTTTATTTGTTGATTGAGATAATATGAGATTATTTATGATAATTTTTGGTTTAAATAAGATTAATGAAAAAAATATTAGTACATGGATTATTGGAATTAAAATTAAGGAATAAGAAATAAATGGTGTAACATATATATGAAATTAAGAAATAAAAATGTATACTAATGATATTGATTTAAAGATTTTAATAAAAAAGAATATTAAGTATGAGTAAAAATATAATCTTGGTTACTACATTATATTACATGTACATTGTATGAAATAAAAATTGTTTAACATATAAAAAAATTTAAAATAAATAAAGAAAAAATTATTTTAATAAAAGTATTAAATTTAAGAAATGTATTACTCATTTCAACATTTTTTAATTTTTTTCAAAATTTTAATTTTTTTCCAAAATTTTCTTCCAGTTGTTTTCAACTCCTTCCTAATTTTTTTCCAATTTCTTCTACTTTATTACAACATCCAATTTTTAAATTTCTAACCAAAATATAAATTTTTTTCCAACATAAAAGTTTGCTTTGTGACATTTGAACACTGTATATTGGCCTTGTTTGGATATTGGTTGTTGGATGTTTGTGTCAGCTGTTCTAACTTCTTTAGTTTAGATGGTTCGACCCACTGATCGTTAAAAATCTATGGTGAAATTAGCTGTTTTAGAATAATTGTTTCAATTTAATATATATATATATATATATATCTGTGTGTGTATGTATATATGTATGTGTGTGTGTGTGTGTGTGTGTGTATATATATATATATCACATCTTACTTTTTCTCTTATACTCAATCCATCACATCTTACTTTAACCATCACATCAAGGGCAAAATTGGAAGTCAGCTACAATTTAACACTTCCTTATTTTTACACAAAGTCAAAATAGGAACACTTTTATAGAATGAAGGGAGTATTATGTATTTTGTTTATTTATTAAATGAATTTTTGCCCCCCCATGAATTCTTCCCTGGCTCCGCCACTGCTTGAACCGGCCCCTATATATATATATATATAAAGACACACACATACATTGTTTTGCATTTTTATAGATGAAAAATATAACTTTTATCCCTAAAATATGATTTCCATGCTCTTATTCTCGAAATAAGAGTTTGCTTTGTGACATTTGAACAATGTATATTGGCCTTGTTTGGATGTTGGTTGTTGGATATTTGTGTGAGTTGTTCTGACTTCTAAATAGATGTTTAGTTTGGATGGTTTGACCGACTGATCGTTAAAAATATATGGTAAAATTAGTTATTTTAGAATAATTGTTACGAAATTATATATATATATATATATATATATATATATATATATATATAGACACACACACACACACACACAATATTTTTTTTTTCATTTGTATACGTGTAAAAATTAAATCTTTAATATATGAAGTACTAAATTTCACTTTTGTATAATTCATACAAAAATTAGTAGTATATAAATTTTTAATAGTTTTTTTATTTTGATTTTGTCAACAGATATATTTTGATTTTTTTCAATTTTTAAAATTTAATTTTTTTTACTTTAATTTTTTTTACATATAATAGTGAATATCTTTCAAGAAAAAATAATTTTAAAGAATTAGTTTTTCTAACAGCCAAGTCTAAAAGCTACTCCATTTGGCTTTCCGAATTTTGACTTTTCGGATCAAATAGCCAAGTGAAAAAGCCATTAGTCAAATACCGATTTTGGCTGTTCACTTAGTCAAAATACAAAAGTTAGTCAAAGGTGCTGAAAGCCATTCGAAAAACCATTTTTCAAACACAGTCATAGTCATTTCACTATGTTTTTTTGTATTATATATTGTATGATATATGATTATAGTCATATATAAACACTGTCATAGTCATTTCACAAGGTCATTTCCAAACACAGCCATAGTCATTTCTAATATAGTGATAGAGAGCGTCTATCACTATATTATTATTCTGAAACAAAACTAAAATATGAGTAAAATATGTAGAAAATATGAAAGTAGAGATTCATATATGTTCTATCCCAAAATATAAGATACGAGTATAATACAAAAAACCTTGTGAAATGACTATGGCTATGTTTGGAAAATGGTTCTTTGGATGACTTTTGACATCTTTGAGTAATTTTGGCATTTTTGACTAATTGAACAGCCAAAAACGGTATTTGACTAATGGATTTTTCACTTGGCTGTTTGATCCGAAAAGCCCAAATTCAGAAAGCCAAGTGGAGTAGCTTTTAGACTTGGCTGTTAGGAAAACTAATTTTTTAAAATCATTTTTTCTTGAAAGATATTCAGTATTATATGTAAAAAAATTAAAGTAATACAAAATTAAATTTTAAAAACAAAAAAATATAAAAATAAATCTGATGACAAAATCAAAAGAAAAAAATTATTAGAAATTTATATACTATTAATTTTTTTATGAGTTATATGAAAGTGTACACGTATAAAAATGAAAAAAAAGTATGTGTGTGTCTTTACACACACACACACACAAAGATATGTGTGTGTGTGTGTGTGTGTGTGTGTGTGTGTGTATAACTATAGATTTTCAACGATAAGCCAACACTACCAGCCAGTCGAATGATAAAGAATTTTGGTTTGACTCAAAATCCCGTAGTAGTATAGGGAGTAGACTAGATCTCGAGAGATCAGTGTATTCCCGTGTCATCTCAAGGATCAGTTCAAGGGAAGGCTTCGTAAGACTAGCTAGACAAGATTTACTTGTTGAATTAAAAAGTTTTCAAAAATTCGATAATAAGTAGAAATTGACTTTAACTTTTTAGGATTAAAAGATAGGGACGAATGACACCTGGGTAGAAATTGACATTTGACATTAATCCCTATCTCCAAAAAGTTCAGGTACTATTCTTGAAATTTATTCCATATTTTGTTGAAAGAAGGCCAATCTACTCCGGAGTCCAATCCTTCATTGCTACTATTTCCAGTAAGTTTTCTCCTTCAAAACCCACTAGCCCCTTCTTCTAGAATTTTGCCATGCCAAACAGTTCCTCCGTTGGACGAGAACACAATTTAACCATGAGCAAATTGAAGATTACACTTTGACTGCAAGGAGTTTAAGAAAAGTGTTGAAAGGTAAATGGTGTATGGTGAAAAGTGAAAGGTGTGTGGTTAAACTTCAAGAAGTTCGGCAATGAGCTCTTCAATTTCTTCTTCTGTCAAAGGCTCCTGCCGTTTACACAGAAAACCAACATAGCTACACAAATATTTTGAGACAGAAAAATATGATTTTCAATAGTTATATTTTGTGAAAGAATACCTCTGTATAACGTAAATGCATTAATATTTTTCTTAGATAAGTAATAACGTAAATCAAATATCTAAAATAATCTTGGTGCATCATTTAAATTATGACAAATATCAATTGAACATCCATTTAGAATTTGTTAAGTATTCGAATAACAATCAAATACAAATCTCATTTAAATTTCATTTCGTAATCAGATTCGTATTTGAAAAAATACGAATTTTCAAATGTTTTGATACTCGATTTATTTACACACTCCCTCCGTCCCAAATCAGTTTCATTTGCATCCAACTGAAGCAGAAGGATGAGGTAATTCTTCACTCATCAACCAACTAAACTGCTCATTCTTTCTGCCATGTCTCGTCTCAGCTGGCCACTTTCCTCCTCCCTTTGCCCATTATCTTCAACATTTCCTCTTCATTCCTTGTGATCATCACATGTTTGTCCTCTAGAGAGAAGCTAAACAGATGTACAAACATTGGTAGCCAAATAAAACTTGCAGCCTGGCTTACTTAGTTGAGCCCATTCAAGTCGATCAGAAAGTCTCCTCTATCTGTAGGAACAACAAAGAGAAAATAGTGGTGTCACTTTCATAAGTATCACCATTGTTATGTAAAGGGAACAACCTCCCTCCTGCAAGTAACATGAACCAAAAACAAAGATTAGTGTGCTACTCACTCTGTCCCATTTGAAGAGTCCGGTGTCATCAAGATACAACTTTAAAATTTTGAGCAAGATATCACCACTATCAAATGTGATATTTATCTTGTTTTATCAAAGACGACTTTTTTGGAACAAAAACAAGTCAAGACAGTGGACTCTCTTTATGGAACAGAAATATTTGTGGCATTGTTATAAAACTCAAAAGGTAGTATAAATATAGAACACAGTTGCCTAATAAGGAGAAACCCAAAACTTAAATGAGCCATGGCTCACCTGAAACTTAAATGAGCCATGTTATGCAAATTAAATTTCAGTAAAATATATTCAGATTCCCAAAGATGGTAAACCTGTGAGCTTTGAGGTAATATGACTGCAGGTATGTCATATGACATGTTAGGAGTGAAGTCTCTCAACCGTCTTGCAATGGTTCAGACAGAACTTGTTATGACATTTCACCACAAGTACTTGAGATACATCACTTTGCCTGTTGAATAGTCCAAGTGAATCTGTGCACAGTACAACTATTCACGAATAAATTTAAGGTTCCCACTAAATTTATTTGGGTATCCCAGAATAAGATTTACACTCATTTCATAGAAACAATTGTGTGGGTGAAATTCTTTCAAACTTCTCCAGTTTCCAAATAAATTTTAACCACATTATTTTACATCCTTAAACGTCGTGCTCATTTCTTATGGAAACCTTAATTTAGGACTGAGGAAGTACCTAGAACTGAAGTTACCATCTTAAAGTACAATAGAATATCACCATTGAACAACAAAATATGTAGAATACCTCCAGCCAACCTTTGACTTGTGGAACAAAATTGTACAGGTCAATGAATTCTACTGGCCACACAAGGTTGCATCACATTTTTGCAATATACCATCAACCTCAAGTAGAATTAACTTAGAGTCATTGAGAGCAATACGACTGCTTTCGCGGACGAGGTAACTGCACAGTTCATGTCTAGGTGTTGGCATAAGTGACCTTAGTTCAGCAAGGGGATTTGTGATCGCTGAAGAACTATACAATTCTTTAGCAGGTTGCACGTGGTCCCACCAGAAGTCAGAAAGTGCTTTTTCCATGGCTTTCCAATACTCTTCGTCTCGATACAACCTAAACAGGCTACTCCCTTTGGTAGTCCAGATATATAGGTCCATCCAATCTCGGTCTAAAACCTCCATCAAACCTTGTGCTTGAGGAATGTAATAAAGGGGAATTCTACTAAGAGGCCAAGCCTTGGTCATATCACCACCGAAGTATGGACATTTTATTTCCAAAACCCCTAGGGAAGGCAAACCATGGATAAATTTATCAATTACCCCATCAGGCGAAGCTGCAAGCCAACCTTCTTCTTCTGGATTCAATTTGTTTTGATGAACCTGAAAACCAATCATGGAGACATCATTGTTTCCAGTAATAAGCCTATATCTCTCAAAAGCTTCTTCTTCCTTGATGTTGCTCCAACAAGTGGCTATGTTGCCGTAGAATGGTTCGATTGCCCCGATTTTCTCTAACCAAAGTTGAACTCTTCGGCGGGGCCAAAAGCCAACAGCTTGACTGAAAGTGCTTGCCGTCAATTTACACTTTCTCAAATGTTGCCAATTTTTTAACCGGTTTTGTAAGCCACTTGATTCGAGAATCGGATGATGGTTCTCCAATGGATTAGCAGAACAGCTGATGTGGCTTTTACAGTGGTAAGAGTGCGGAGAAGTGCAGGTGACCATAAAGATGTTACAACATTTGTGATTTGAAGAACATACAAAGCGATGACCAGCAAAACGCATAACCTTTCCTGAAGAATATATATATTACTTTCAAATTGGAAATAGAGCGAGAAAACATCTGCTATCGTAAAAAAATACAATTCGATAAGAATCATTTCTATAAAATGGTTCATCTTCTAAGAACAGTATTTGAAGCTGAAAAAATGATCGAAAGAATAATGAGCAGTTCCAATAGCACTATTAACTGTTGAATAGAGCATGCAAAACAATAACAAAACAGTGAAAAGCGAATACTACATTACTACCTTCAAACAAATGTAAAAAATGAGGAAGTGAAGGTAGTTTTTTGTGTAGAAAAGGAACCAAGCTAGCATGAGTATTGACATGACAACAAAACTGAGCTATGATAGATTGATATGTATAGAAATATTGGGCAGTAATTATAGTCGGTGTGTCAAGCAAGCATGCCTATGTTTTCGTCCGGATTTGTAATTCTAAAAGATATTCTATAAATTTGAAATATTCGATGTGTCTTAGTCCTTCCCCCTAGAGGCGCAACCGTGCAAGGAAGAAATACAGCTAAGAATAGAATTTAAAACAAAAAAAATCTAGATGAATTAACCCTTAAAAACAATTTTATCAGCCCAAAGAAAAACAAGAGGGTGTGTGGAATTAAATCTCTTATGCGCATATCTGCAACGCAACCATCAGTGTTTTGAAATCTAAATGAAGACAAACAAATGTAAGAAAACAAGCCTGGAAGAAATGTCTAAGAAAAATTCTAATAGTCTAGTTTTCTTGACAACTGAAAAGCATCACATTTCTCACTAATGCTCCGTAAATTGGCTGAAAGCAATATGCAATAAGAAAAGTATAATACAAACTTTAAAGAGCATCACATCTACTAAGGTAACAAGGTGTATTAGTTTGCATATGGAACAAATGGTCGATCATGCATGTTGTAGAAAATTTATCATGTTTTCTAACTGCAAACTGTTAACAAGAAGCACCATGTCTTACAAATGAGAAGACGGTCCATTACAGTATGACACACATAACATGCTCGAATTCCACGCTCTAGTTTAGCTCAATGCCTCACAATTCAAATTACATGACTTCACCATATAGATCTTTGGATATAATACAAAAAATGGAAAAGAAACATGCATCTTTATATTTTACTGCTAGAAATTACAGAGACAATTTCCAAGAGACCCCTCTAGAGTAACACTTTCAAAATGATTTATTTTTTGCACGGTACAATGATATGTCCACACAGGGATATAGGGGTAATGACTAACTTTTTAAAGCGAGAAGCACACAAAATCAACAAGTTGAGGCTTTTCTTGCAAAAAAAGCTGATGGAAACATTGCTTTCTCACAACATATCAATGCTTATAAATAAAAACAGATAATGTATCAAACAAATTTAAGGCAGAAATAATTAAAGAATCAGAAAATCATGATAAAAATTCACGACGGTAGGCAATAACATGCCGAAGCTATTGAGCCATTGAAGTGCTTCAAAATTTTGAAGGCTTCCTTTTCTGTTAGAAGTTCAATTCTTAAGTGTTACAACATTTTTTTTGTCAGATATTCATTTCTGTTTCTGTATAGTGTAGCATACGAAAGCATTCTTCTTTTTGAGATTTTCACAATTAGTATTTTTCAATTTTAGCTTATATACACCTATATATTTTATGGAATTAATTAATATTCAGAATCACATTTCAAACCCTAAAACATCTAACATTTGGTGTTACAACAATCTAATTTATAGTCTTAAACTGCATTCAGTTCAAATAAGAAAATTTCAGATGAGAAACACAGAGTATTTAGCAACCACAGCAATGCATATGACAAGAAAAAAAGAGAGGTAGAAAATACTAGTGACCAGGTCCGGACCGAACAACAAAAGGGCCCTGTGCAAAACATAAGTCAGGCCCTTTTGTACCTCATAGTTGCAAAATATTACGGAGTATATAAGTTTTATATTAATTATAATATATGCTACAACAAAAATGCAAATAAAAAAATCTAAATAATAATTTACATTAAAATAGACATCCCCACGACATATTAAGATACAAATTCATCAATCAAATTATTAATTACTATTTCTTCAAAATTCTCACATTCATTTTATGTCAAAGTCAATCCATTGAGTCTCTCTTGGGAGATAGTTTGATGTAAGTAATTCTTCAACACTTTAACTTTAAAATGAAAATAATTGAAACATTTTTTAAAGAAAAAAAATTACTCGTACTATCTGAAAAAGAGTCTTGTTGATATTCATTGAAGTGAACTTCATCAACATTGAATTTATGTGCAGTTTTATGTGGATACATTATGTGTTCTTGTTAGAAGAAAATTCTTGTATTTCCCTTTCAAATGTTTGTTCTATCAACTTGAAGTTGGGGGAGAAATCAAAACGGTCAAACTGAAGTTGGGGGGGTCCTAATCTGGTTTATGTCCCAAAACATATACACAAGCACAATCCTTCTCCAAACCAAGCCTAAAAACCAGCTCCTCATCCAAGTTTTCAAACTGAAACCATAAACCAGCCCACCCAAAAGCCAGCTGCTAGCACCCGAAAGCCTGATATTGAAAACCTAAAACCAGTACCCGAAAACCAAAAACCATCCCCCCAAAAGCAAGCAGCTCAAAACCAAACATAAGCGGATGACAACCGAAAACCACTCTCCCAAAGACTAGTACCCGAACACAAAAATCCACGCCCCATAAGCCAGATGCTGAAAATTAAAAAGCATACCTCTAAAACCTAGCTGCCAAAAACAAAACGAAAAAATCCACCTTAAAACCAGATGTTGAAAACCAAACACAAAGTACTTGGCGTATTAAGCCACCTTAAAACCAGAACTAAGCCAGTACAAAAGCTAGTAATTTCATAAATACGAAGTATTTAGGTTGTTCAAACAAATAGAGGAAAAGCATTCATCTCTAAGGAAAGACCATTAATGGTGCCAAAGAGTCAAACTTCAAACCCAATTGAAGAACAAATTTCACCAAACTTTATGAACAAAACGGATTCAGACAAGAAACAAAGTCAAAGATTATAGATTATTGAATTAGAAAGCCGAATGGATGCTCAAACCCTCGTGAGAAAATTAATCCAAACTCATCGTACTGGGAAATAAATTTAAAGTTTTAACCTGCTTTGGGAAAGATATTTTACAAGTATGATGGTTAATACAGATATATTTTACCTGGCGGCTGACTGGCAGAGATCGTAACCCTGAGCCCTGGATTCGAGAGTAAGCAAAAAACCAGCAGAAAGAGTGGCGGACGAAGCACTGGAAAAAGCCGTATCCCTCAGGTCATATCCCTAGCCACTGGTTGTCGGACAGAGTGGCCGAAGGAGCTCGTGTGTGCCGGACTCGTAAGTTGTTATCGGCGTAAGATGTTGCTAATCTGAGCAGTTCGATCGAAATTTTCTCAAAAATACTCCGGAATCCCAATTAGTTTGGAGCTGTACCTTTTTTAGAGGAAAGAATATTTACTTTTGGAATATACTAGATTTTACCCTTGCGATGCACGCTCAAAATAACACAACAATAAATTATTTGTTTATGTAAAAAATAAATAAATTAAAATGAGTAAATATGATATATAACAAATTTCAGTACATATCACACTTAAGTACTGCCTATTTAAGATGACAATATCTTTCATAGTGTTTTTAATTATTTGAGAATGCATTATATATAAATAAATTATACATATAGCGCGAATTATAACTTCTGAAAAACTTATACATATATGCAACATTTGAAGTGTAGTCCAAAATATTGTTCTCTTAATCGTAACTTAAGATCATGATTCTCAAGTGTAATTTTTTCGTAAGCAGTAGGCTAACATGCAATAAATATTGTCTCTGATTTTTTTAATGGTCATTACATAGGAATTCACGACTGCAAAATTACTTTCTTTGAAACTTGAAAGGAATCCTTTTATCTAAAGGAATAAAAAAAGCCTTGGGAATACAACTTCATTATATTATATCCAATTTTTGTATCAATTTCACTTAATTAGAGGTCAAAGTTTGCATGATAAACTACATTTAAAACATAATTAAATATCATAGATTAATCAACTACAACCTTTCAAAAAATATATATTAATCAACTAAAATATCATTTTGGATATATAGTATCACATAAATGTAAAAAAGTATTATTTCTACAATATCTAATATTAAGGTTATTTTATTAATTAGTAAATAAAGTATTAAAGTTTGTTTGCAACAAATAAAATAGGAGTAACATTTTAGAAATATAGTACCGAGTATAAAATAAATGCAATATAAATATTAGTTCTACAATATCTAATATCATTTTTATTTTAATTAATTATTAAAGTATAAAAATTTTGACTGTAAAAATTAAAATTAGGCAAATACTTGGAATGGAGATAAACTCAAAGATGATATGTCTGGCGGTCTGGCCCATATATTATACTTTCAGGCTTAAGCCCACTGCTTTCACCTCCAGTCCAGGCTAATAGGAGTACATATCTTGTGTTCACACCCTAATACTCAATTGCCGGCTCGCCGCCTTTCTCTCTCTAGATCTCTTCATCGCTCTCTCAATATTTAGCTTTCTCTCGCTCCCTATCTGTTGTTCTATCTTCTCTCTATAGATGGATCTCTCTCGCTCTCAGTCTAGAACTCTCTCTGGTTGTATCATATATCAGGTTCAATTGTTTTTTTTATCTTGAATTTTTGCTTCCTAATTTTTATTCAGCTATAATTGTTTTGATTTTTGATCGGGATGTTTACAGATATTTTTTTTAGAAGAGTTGAGTTCTCTTTCGTGTATAAGTGATCTTTAATGAATGTTTTCCTGATTTTTTAGACTTTTTTAGACTCCGTTTGGTACATGGAATTCAAACTATGGAATTGGAATTGAGAACTTCAATTCCAATTCTGGTGTTTGGTAGCACAAAAATTATGTGGATTTGGAATTGATATTGCAAAAAATGAATTGGAATTGGCAGAATTCAATTCTATGGAATTAAATCTCATGGAATTTTAATTCCAATTCCGTCAATTCCTTATACCAAACGGACCCTTAGTTTTCTTTTTTGCGTGTTCTTCTTTTCTTGCACATATACAGATTTTATAAGAAATTTCAGTCTACGATCTAAGATCGAATTGAATGCGATTTACTTAATATAAACAAATGCTATATGAAAATGAAGTGTACGACCTCCGATCGAAGTCTACATGACTTATTTTATGTTTTCGAATTTTTTTTTGCTCGACCTTAAATTTTCTGTGCCGACTACGGCTGATCTACTTGGTCATCAAAAGTTTATGGTGAAGACTTCGATTGAATTTATGAGTTTTTTTGTTTTAGTATTGCCCTAGATCTCTATTTTTACTCGTAGATCTAACAATATTTTTTTTTATTTTTAAGTATTTAGAATTGCAGAAATTTTCATAAATTATTACGTGATATATAAAGTTAATATATCTTTATTTTCAAATCTTAGCTCAGCTCCGTTTGATAATCACGATTTATTACAATTTGAAAGATTTTTATTCAAACTTTATAGACATAGACCATTACAAAATTTGTTGTTATTTTGTTTAACTCAAACATTTCTGTTTTCTTTGTGATTCAAATATTTTACGATATACCAAAAATATATTATTTTTCATTTCTGAGATGTAAAATACTAATCTCACAACGTCATCACTATATCCCAATTTTATTATTTTTCACACTATTGAGGTGTGCTCACTGTTATACTATTAACATCACATCATAAAACAATCTAAACATTAAATAAATGGTTGCCGTGAATCTTCTCAATACATATAGTGATTCCTTTGATTTTCTCAAATACATATAGCATTCACTTTGATTAGGGTTTCAATACATATAGTGATTTTTCATTCGTGTTTCAGCGAATCTAAATAGTGATTCCTTTAGTTTTTTTAAATACATATATCATTAACTTTTTTTATTAACTGAGTTTCATTGTATTTCTAAACAAACATTTATAAAAACAAATTTCACTGATTTTTTATTAATTGAATTTCACTGACTACTTGATTAATATAAACTTTTTAATGGTAGATGTTATGTGTCTCTTTTTTCTTCCCCATAAAATGTATACTTCTCTAATATATTAGATTAATTAGTATGTCATATGAAATGTATAATGCCGGGTTTATTTTTGCAGTAAAAAGTTAAAACCAACTTTATATCTTGTAGGTAATTGCATGCTTATGGCTTGGATGAATGACCCAAGATCTATTAAATTTAATCAGGTAATTTCTAGTAAATTAAAAGGGAGCAGTGGTGGGGAGAGGATGATAACAGTTCATTTACCAATAACCACCCACTATACATTTCTACACAAAAAGGAACCGTGCATGCTTTTTTTCTCAACAGATTTATAGCAAAACTGGTAGCTTTGTCAAAAACCATCCACTTAACACTTTTGTGTGAACACGATCATGCATCAAAATGTTGTGGAGGTGTATTTGTTGGTGTGTGTATATTTATATATATACTTACATATATACACACATGAAAATGGTTTAACGTCAAAATACTATAGAAAACTGAACAAAAAATATGTATATATTATCAAAGTATTTACAGTCTATCACATGTTGACACATCGTACCCACGAACACATCGTAACTAACTCGGAAAGGGATGAACTAACCAATATTCTTTTGTCACATACTCACAAGTTAGATGCTCTTACACACTTCTTTCAGTGACTTCATGTACCACTACTCTTAACTTTTTAAATAGTGTTACTTTAATCATTGCTATTTTCTTTCGCATTGGTGTTGAATAAGCATGATAATAAAATAAAGTGTACGATGTATTTAAGAGAAAAAGGTGCTTCGAATGAATATTTAATGTATACTGGCTGATTTTGAATCACTACAAGCAAGGTAAATAGCACATTGGCAGTTGCATTTGAACAGACAGGGAAATACACTGAATGTTCATACTCTTTTAGGATTTGAACAGAGAGGGACAGCAGCATGTGTTCAACTGGCCTTTTGTGTATTGTCATAAGTTGGTTGAAGATGGATAGTTTTATCCACCAAGTATGATTTAGGTAGTCTTAAGATGATGACTTTTTTTTGCTAATTTTAGTTTCAAGACCCTAAAAATATTAAACAAAAATTAAATTCTTTTAAAAACAGAGGATTATTAACAGAGCATAAAAACAGAGGATATTAATCTGCAGCTTAAGGCCTTTTTGATTGAATCACGTATAATGACTAGTGTTTACGGTCTTTCAAAAGATGTTCTGGTTGGGTGAAATCAATGTTGCATTAAACTTTGTTGCATCTACTTATTGTTTATTCTGCGAATACACTGAAAGGATCCTTTTATGCAAATCCAGTGCTAGATGTGCCAACGACTGATCCATCCCTTATCAAACGGTTAAGAACTTGTCTTCATATTTCAGCATATGCATACATAGTCACTCCGTGAGCTCTCTGATTAACTTTACTGCAACAAATTTGTAAAATATATAACTATAATTTTTGAGTTTCTGTATTTATGTATTCCCACCTATCCTATATATAGGACACTTAAAATGGTACTAAATATAAGTCATTTTTAAATTATCAATGCATATTTCCATTGTAGTCCCTGTTAAATGAAGAGCCTTCATTGTTAATGAGTTTGTTGCAAAAACATGGTACCAAAAAAATGTTGGGGAAATTAACGAAAACACGGATTAATCGAGAGTCGTGTATAACATTTCAGATTGAATATTTTGGTTGTTCAATCAAAAATTTAATCGGATAAAACTCGAGAGTAACAAGAACAAAATACGGAATTGCTCTGAATCTTTGAACGGACTTTCGACCAAGGACTTGCGGGAATATATGGAGTTGCGGTGAGAAGAGAAGACGTGATCGCGTCTTTTACCCAAGACACGCGATTCTTCGCGCGAAACTCCTTTAGAAAATCGGCTCTATCCATAAGAAATTTTTCTTTAAAGAAAATTCTAAAATACAAATTCAACTGAATTTTTTTGGCATAGCACTTTGCCCAAATCTCGACCCTAGCCAGGGGCTCTGCCCCTTGGACCCCGCAGGGGCTGCCGCCCCTTGAACCCTGCTCGGGGATGCTGCCCCCGAACCTCCAAACCCCCGCCAAGGGTGCGCTGCCCCCTTGGAACCCCCGATAAAATAGGATTTTTATCGTAACAAACTTAATGAAGTGTGCACTCCGCACTACCAAACTTCTTTGATGATTATCAAGATACCATTGGTCATAGTTTTTCTAATTACACTAAAATATATAGCATTCCTCCCCTATTTTAGTGTAATCCTTGATTAACTAAATAAATTCATATCAAACAACAAACTTATGTATAAATGAAATATCGTGACGATTG